AAGCAGGGTCCAGACCCGAAACATCAGCTTTCCTGCTCCTCTGATGCTGCTTGGCCTGCTGTGTTCATCCAGCTCTACACCTTGTTGTCTCAGATTTTCCAGCATCAGCAGTTCCTACTATCTCTGTAACGTTTTTATAATGTGACTCTGATGCTCATTATAATGAAAAGGTTTCCACTACGGAAACTGATTGATTCATGTTACAAGCTTCTATGGAGCAAATGTAAATACAGCATTGTGTAAGTAATGGCAGAATCTTCTGTAAACTGAGGACAATTACAGGCAGGTCACTCATTCAGACACAAGAGATTAAATCAGAAACTCTTTGCTCTAGTTTATTTTTTTTTAATAAGGACACAAAATCAATGCAACTGGGGATCAAAGCAACTCGTCCAAAAAAAAAACCTGGTTCATTCGGAGGATGGGTCACTGGACCTGGAACACTAACTCTTATCTCTCTCTGCGGATACTGCGAGACCTGCTGAACTTTTCCAGCAATTTCTGTTTTTGACTATAAAAACCTATCTCCAGAGGAAAAATCTCATCACCTCAGAAGATTGAAGATTTAATCTGTAAATTTTTAAACAGAAGTCAGAAAAGAGGTAGTTTAATCTCAATTGACTGCATGTGAATAATTTCTGATTTCTAAATTACCATAACCTTTTCTATGTTTTTGTTGAACCATGAATGGATTTTGATTAGATTCCTTCTGGTAGCCCCAGCAGGAATATTCAAAACGATTGGAATTCACTGAAATTAATGTATTGTCACATTTGTTTAGCTGTTCGAATTATCCATTTGAACAGATTCAGCACTAGTAGATCATGTCCATTTTCGTGTTGGCTCACTGCCAATGTTGCATTACTACGTACTGGAAACTACAGTCATCTTTTCTAACTCTAAACAGACTGTTGTGTAAATTTGAAGCAGGTAGTGAATTATAGTGCTATTTTTAAAATAAAAATGAAATATCAAGGTAGCTCTAAAGGATACAACCAATTCAAACATGAATTAAATAACTGAAATAGCTAAAGTTATGACATGGAAGTTCCTAAGATGAAATCTATCATTTGTAAATGTAACTTTCCTTGCAATCTACACACAAATACTTTCCTTCAATATTGTTCAACACATCAGGTTAAGAGGCAGAGATCAAACAATAGCAGCAAGTTGGGAAATGTTGGAAGTGAAATTTGGATAAATCTAATTGTCATTGCTTTTGATCTCAATGTCTGTACCCATTTTTTCTTTTATCACATATCAACTTGTAACATGAGGGAACAGTTAACTCAGGTGGCTAGACAGCCGGTTTGTAATGCACAGTGATGCCACCAACGAGAGTTCAATTCCCGCATCAGCTGAGGTTACTTTCAAGGACTCTCCTTCTCAACCTCTCCCCTCATCTGAGGTGTGGTGAACCTCAGGTTAAATCACCAATTACCTCTCTCTCTATGGTCCTCTGGGACGATGGCAACTTTACCTTTACCTGTATTATATCAGCATATACTTAAACCTTAATTCAGTTACCTTTACAAGCTTTGGTTACCAAAATAACTTTTTTACAATCTGGGAGAAATATTGTCTGACATAGTTTTATACATTTTTCTTGTGCAAGTTTCTTCACTCCTTAAAAATGCGCTAGGTTTATTAATGTACTACCTATATTGATCTTACGTTGCCACAAAGTCAAACTCGACTTGTAACATTCACACTGTTTTTGTCTTCACAAATTATGCCAAACCTGCTGATCCTTCCCAACACTTTGCTTTTATCTGAGATTAGTAAATGGGTGACGATCTCATGGAAACCTCTAATATTCTTAAAGGCTGTTTCCCAGATTGCAACATCTACAACTATGTGTCAGAACTTCAGGATAAAGGGTTGACCACTCACGACTGTGTTAAGGAGATACATGTCTTCATGCAGAACACTGTGAATCTTGCGAATTCTCTACCCAAACGATCATGCATATCCTACTTGATGAGTATATTCAAAACTTAAATCTATATATTTTGGGTATTGAGGAACTCAAGGAGTTTGGAGATTCAGTAGGAAAGTGGAGTTGATGCAGAAATTTACTCACGATTTACTAAACGGTAAGTAAGTTTTGAGCGTTTACATCTGCTCTGTAACATTATGATTATCTAAAGAAATAACCTGGATTATTGAAAAGACAACAGAAAGATACATTTTATATATAATACAAACCTGTAATCTTGCCTCCAGAGCTTGGACAGTGTGGTAATAATTTACATCTCCCATGTCATAAGTCAATATTCCTTTCTCTTCAGCGTGCCCAGAGTTAACCTAGATCGTAAAAATATTTTAAGTAATTAGAGGATAACGACAGTGGAAACAAAGAACAAGGAAAATTACAGCACAGGAACAGGCCCTTCAGCCCTCCAAGCCTGCGCCGATCCAGATCCTCTATCTAAACCTGTCGCCTACTTTCTAAGGATCTGTATCCCTCTGCTCCCTGCCCATTCATGTATCTGTCTAGATAAATCTTAAATGACGCTATCGTGCCCGCGTCTACCACCTGGGTTGGCAACGCGTTTCAGGAACCCACCACCCTCTGCATAAAGAATTTTCCACGCATATCTCCCTTAAACTTTTCCCCTCTCACCTTGAAATCATGACCCCTAGTAATTGAGTCCCCTACTCTGGGAAAAAGCTTCTTGCTATCCACCCTGTCTATACCTCTCATGATTTTGTTGACCTCAATCAGGTCCCCCATCAACCTCTGTCTTTCTAATGTAAATAATCCTAATCTATTCAACCTCTCTTCATAGCTAGCGCCCTCCATACCTGGCAACATCCTGGTGAACCTCCTCTGCACCCTCTCCAAAGCATCCACATCCTTTTGGTAATGTGGTGACCAGAAGTGTACGCAGTATTCCAAATGTGGTCGAACCAATGTCCTATACAACTGCAACGTGACCTGCCAACTCTTGTACTCGATACCCGGTTCGATGAATGAAAGCATGCCTTATGCCTTCTTGACCACTCTATTGACCGGTGTTGCCACCTTCAGGGTATAATGGACCTGAACATCCAGATCTCTCTGTGCATCAATTTTCCCCGGGACTTTTACATTTACCGTATAGTTCACTCTTGAATTGGATCTTCAAAAATGCATCACCTCGCATTTGCCTGGATTGAACTCCATCTGCCATTTCTCTGCCCAACTCTCCAATCTATCTAGATTCTGCTGCATTCTCCAACAGTCCCCTTCACTATCTGCTACTCCACCAATCTTAGTGTCATCTGCAAACTTGCTAATCAGACCATCTATACCTTCCTCCAGATCATTTATGTATATCACAAACAACAGTGGTCCCAACACTGATCACTGTGGAACACCACTGGTCACAGTTCTCCATTTTGAGAAACTCCCTTCCACTACAACTCTCCGTCTCCTGTTGCCCAGCCAGTTCTCTATCTATCTAGCGAGTACACCCTGGACATCATGCGACTTCACTTTCTCCATCAGCCTACCATGGGGAACCTTATCAAACGCCTTACTGAAGTCCATGTATATGACATCTACAGCCCTTCCCTCATCTATCAACTTTGTCACTTCCTCAAAGAATTCTATCAAGTTGGTAAGACATGACATTCCCTGCAGAAAACCATGCTGCCTATCGCTAATAAGCCCATTTTCTTCCAAATGTAAATAGATCTTATCCCTCAGTATCTCTTCCAGCAGTTTCGCCACCACTGACGTCAGGCTCACCAGTCTATAATTACCTGGATTATCCTTGCTAAACTTCTTAAACAAGGGGACAACATTAGCAATTCTCCAGTCCTCCGGGACTTCACCTGTGCTCAAGGATGCTGCAAAGATATCTGTTAAGGCCCCAGCTATTTCCTCTCTCGCTTCCCTCAGTAACCTGGGATGGATCCCATCTGGACCTGGGGACTTGTCCATCCTAATGCCTTTTAGAATGCCCAACACTTTCCCCACCCCGCTCCCAACTCCTTATGCCGACTTGACCAAGAGTAATCAAACATCTATCCCTAACCTCAACACCCGTCATGTCCCTCTCCTCGGTGAGTACCGATGCAAAGTTCTCATTAAGAATCTCACTCATTATCTCTGACTCCTCGCATAACTTCTCTCCTCTGTCCTTGAGTGGGCCATCCTTTTCTCTAGTTATCCTCTTGCTCCTTATGTACGAATAAAAGGCTTTGGGATTTTCCTTAACCCTGTTTGCTAAAGATATTTCATGACCCCTTTTAGCCCTCTTAATTCCTCGTTTCAGATTAGTCCTACTTTCCCGATATTCTTCCAAAGCTTCGTCTGTTTTCAGTCGCCTAGACCTTATGTATGCTTCCTTTTTCCTCTTTGCTAGTCTCATAATTTCACCTGTCAACATTTAAACAAAAGTCCAGCAGTAAAACTAATTGTCAGTTCCTGTGGAATTGGCACACATGTGGCTTCCATAGTGCAAGGAGCTACTTTTATTAATTTGCATTAATTTATAAGTTAATTGTGAGAAGATTGCCAGCTGGCCATCTCCCACACTGCCTCATAATATGGCAGATCAGATCTCCTTCCAGTTTATGTCTCCATTCAGCAATGTCATTTATCATAATTTCATCATGCAGGTATCCTCATCAGAATCTTTTCTAAAGCCATCGTATTCTTTCTGTTAAAGTGTGGTCCGCAGGATTGTACACAGTTTCCAGTTGTGACTGAAACAGTGTTTTACAAAGTTTCATTATAAATTCAATGCTTTTGTACTCTTTGCCTCAATTTATAGTCCAGAATCCCATATGCCATTTTAATCTCTCTTCATGGTTGAGTGGGTAAATACAGCCAATGGGAATTCAATCTGGAGAAGTGTAAGGTTATGCATATGGGAAGGCAAACAAAGCAAAGGAATACACAACAAGCAGATGGTATTGAGAAAGGTAGAGAAAGTGAGAGACCTTGGAATGTATGTCAACAGTTCCATGAAGGTGACAGGACAGGTAGATGAGATAGTAAAGGAGGCTTACGGGATGATTTCAGGGGCAAGGTACTGAACACAAAAGTAGGTGGAGGAACAGAAGAGATGTAATATTAAACTGCAAAATATACAATATGACACAGAAATGAAGTAAAAGTAGATACATACAGTGTGACGGAATTCACCAAGATCAGTTAATACAAAATTTTTGAAGCCGTCTTCAACAGTGCAAGTTGCTGAAGGGAGCAACAAGATTTGTTCTGTTCCTATGCCTAAGAAGTCATCCAACTGTACTGACCACATCTCCTGCCAAACAGCAACAACCTAAGGTAAAAGAAAGATTGTTATTTTATTTAAGCCATGATATATTACATATAATTAAGGGCAGAACTGTTGCATAAACCTTTACAAGTTCAAAAATTTATGCACCCACCAGGAGCTTGAACAGTTCATCAACTTTACTAACACCATTCACCTGGACCATCTCTGACACCTCTCTCTCCTTCCTGGACCTCTCTGTCTCCATCTATGGTGATTGCCTCGAAACCAACATCTATTCAAGCCCACTGACTCCCACAGCTACCTAGACTACACCTCCTCTCACCCACCTACCCGCAAGAATGTGATCTCCTACTCCCAAATCCTCTGCCTCCGCCTTGTCTGCTCCCAAGATGGGGTGTTCAACTCCCGAACATCCCAGATATTTTCCTATTTCAAGGACCGCAACTTCTCGCCTTCGATGGTCGAAAATACTCTCGACCGCATCTCTTGCGTTTCCTGCACCTCTGCCCTCAAATCCCTTCCCCGCAACAAAAACAGAGACAGAATCTCCCTTGTTCTCACATATCACCCCACTAACCTCCGTATTCAACGTATCATTCTCTGCCACTTCCACCACCTGCAATCCGACCCCACAACCAAAGATATATTTCCCTCCCCACTCCTATCTGCCTTTCGTGGGGACCGCTATCTCTGCTCCACACTCCCTACTAGTCCCACCACCCCCAGCACCTTTCCCTGCAACTGCAGGAAGTGCTACACCTGACCCTACACCTCCCCCCACACCTCCATCCAAAACACCAAACAAACCTTTCACATCGGACAGAGGTTCACCTGCACATCTATCAATGTGGTCTATTGTATCCACTGCTCCTGATGTGGCCTCCTCTACATCAGTGAGACCAAGCGGAGGCTCGGAGACCGCTTTGTACTGCACCTGTGCTCTGTTCGCGACAAATGACAACACCTTTCAGTCGCGAATCACTTCAACTCCCTCTCCCACTCCCTGGGCGACATGTCCATTCTGGGCCTCCTCCAGTGTCAGAATGACGCCACCCGGAAACTGGAGGAGCAGCACCTCATATTCAGCCTTGGGAGCCTACAACCCAACGATCTCAATGTGGACTTTACCAGTTTTAAAATCTCCCCACCCCACCCTGGCCTCATCCCATGACCAACCCTCCCTCTCATTCCCGCCTCCTTGACCTGACACAACCTGTCCACCTTCTCTCCCACCTCAATCCCCACCACTGCCTACCTGCACTCACCCATCACCATCCCATCTACCTTCCCCAGCCACACCCCTTCTCTCTCTCTTTATTTCGAAGCTCCCTTCCCCCTCCCCCATTTCTGAAGAAGGGTCCTGACCTGAAACGTCAACTTTCCTGATCCTCTGATGCTGCCTGGCCTGCTTTGCTCCTCCAGCTCCACATTGTGTTATCTCTGAGTCCAGCATTGACAGTTTTTCCTATCTCTTCAAAAATTAACTGTCCATTCTTACCCTATTTGGTTGACGGTTTGCAGAATTTATAGGTAGCTGTTAAAATCAATAGAATTCCTTGCCAACAACCATGAAATATTTTCTGGCAGTGATATTTTTAGTTCAGAAATGTCTTAATTTATTCAAAGCTGTTTTCCCACTTAATTGGAGCTGCTGTGCTCGAGTTCCACAGTAAGTCAGTGCATTGTTTTGGCTAGTCTACAGGATATTTTCAGGAATATTTAAAGTTGTTTTCGTAAATGTTTCTTTTATTTTTGCCACTTTAAACCTATCCTTTCTTATTCGTGATTTCTTGACTGGCAGTGTTTTGCTAATTCATGTGATTGATGAACCATCAACACAGCAAATGCTAACTTGTCTCCCTACTCCATTCCCAGAACAACCCCCTGGGGAAAGGCAAATAAAAAACAACCCGAGACTTGAACGTGAACTAGAGTCTCTAATAAGATCAATTTTTAGTGCTACAAAAATAGCAGCCTCATCTCCTGATTTTAGAGCAGTTGCAAATAACTTTTTAAAAAATGAAAGGATTCTTCTATTTTATCACTGAACTGATTATTCTATCATTGGAACTGTACATAAAATGATACTAATGTCATTTTATACTGAAATGGTAAGAACAAGATTATTTCAATGCCACCTATTACTGCTTTTAAGATTAAATATTATCTAGGGACAGATTATGGTGTAGTAGTAATATCACCAGACTTGCAAGCCACAGGCACAGGCTAATGCTCTGGGGACAAGGTTCAAATCTCATCTGGACAGTTAGTGGAATTTAAATTCAATTTAACAATCTGAAATTGAAAGCTAGTCTCAGTGGTGAGCATGACAACTATTATTGATTATGATAAAAACCCTTTGGTTCTCTAATGTTCTTCAGGCAAGGAAATCTGCTGTCCTTCTATGGTGTGGCTTATGTGCAAATCCAGAACCACAACAATGCGACTGACTCAACTTCCCTCTGATATGGCCTTTCAAGTTCAGTTCATGGGCAATTAGGAATGGGTAAAAATGCTGGATTTATTAGCAGCACCCATATTCCACAAAAGAATGGAGCTACAAATCATAACGTGTTTCTTCTATTCAATTGCAGGATGAGAACATCACAGTGGGCCAGCATTTATTGCCCATCCCTAATAGCTGGTCATTGTGGGTCTGGAGTCATATGTAGGTCAGACCAGGTAAGGACAGCAGATTTCCTTTGCGAAAGGGTATTAATGAACCAGATCGTTGTTTTTCCCCCCGACAATCGATAACTGTTTCAATGGTCATCGTTAGACTCTTAATTCCAAATTTCTTTTACTACTGAATTCAAATTCTACTATCAGAACACTAGATGGATCTCTGGATTAATAGCCTAGCAATAATACCACTCAGCCATTGCGTCTCTTTGAAATATCCACTTCAGAAATATCAAAGTAACAAAAATAATTTTTTCTTTCTGCCACTTACACAAGCAATTTGTAGAAGAGAGCAAGCAGAAAAGAAATTCAGAAAATTCATAACAAAGGCTGCAGTATTACTGGACAACTGAGCTAAAAGTTCCCAAGCATACCTGGTCTTAAGATCCACTGACAGAAAAATCTAAAAATATGCAGAATCGTGCTTTCGACCAATCAATGGCTTCTAGCAACATTTATTTCTTATATGGCTAAGTTCATAAAGGCATGCTTAGAATTCTGTATTATATGAACATAAGATAATAAAATTTGTAATGCAGAATTGTTAATTTAGTGAATATTTTTCTCTTCTTTTCCTGGACACATTTAAATGATTTCTCAATAAAAATGTTTTCTTGAGTAGGTTCAATTAGATTAAAATCAGGCAAAAGTAAATACACCTGAACAGAAGAAAGTTTGCCAACACATGAATATTAATTATCTGTCTAGACTTTAGTAAAAGCAAGCTCTAAACTTTGTAAGACCACAATGATCTACAAGAGCATTTTGATATGAGAAAATGTAGAGAACCAATATTCATTTGCATCATCTGAACCTTGTCAGAAGTAATTTTAGACTGTTTGAATTGTTTAAAAAAACTGCTTTTTGTAAATTGAATGAAGAGATAAATTCTATTTGTTAGCCACAGTTGCTTTGACTTACTGTTTATTCAAATGTTTCAAGAACAAAAATGAACTTTATGGCATAATTTGCATTCATTGAAATTATCTAATAATTCTTGAGAATGCAAAAATGAACTTGAATTATTGGTAGGCTATTATAATGATGCTGCAATATCTGATAATTAACATCAGCTTTTAGGACAGCTTATTGCATAGGAGCCAAATGGCACTTCGTGTATGCATTAGGTATAACACTTCCAAATTCTAAAACATTTGAAAACAATTAATGATATAAAGACCTATCCATTCTATAAACAAATAATAACCCAGGTGTAGTCTTAAAGTGGACTGATAAACAAAGGTACCAGATTAAACATCAAGACCAAAAAAGAGACATTGTATTTGTACCTGCCAAGTTTCCTTCGAGATAGCACAGACCCTTCCAGCCTTAGAAGACACGAGGAAGAAGCAATTCTCTCTGCCTGTTGTTACTACTTTTATTTGATGAGCTTCTTCAAAAGGAAGCTGGCAGACATTCTTGGGGACAGAGTTTTCAAACAATACCAGTTGCTTCTTACATGTGGTTGCTACAACTATAGTCTTTACTTGATTGTCTATTTCTTCACTTGGGCAAATAAGTATGTTTGTAACTACAGAACTGTAAGCATGTGGGATGAAATGATGGCTGATACAGAAGTTTTCCCTCTTTTGTAAGGAATAGGTGACAAATTCACAACCCCAGATCAATTCATCAGCGTGAGTAATGGAGGTTTCATCACTTTTCACAGGTCCAACAGTTTTTCTTACACCTAGTATGATTATTTCCCCATCAGAAATCTCTCCAATCCATTTAACTGCAGTAAATGAAATGGGAATGTTAAAAATTCCATTAGTTTCAAAAGATACATAATACACTTGGTCTCCACAGGTCCACAAAACACTAGGTCCAGTCAATAGGGTTACATTTACCTTCATTTCATATTCTAATTCAAAATCCAAACAACGTTCAACTTGATTTGAACTGTGCAGTATCAGTAAACTATATCTAAATTTAGAATGAGCCTTTTTATGCTTCTCAAGCAAGATGCAAGGGACATTTTGTCCTGTTCTTGAATCAATAGCACAACAACAGGCAACAATTTGCAAGGAAGAACTTTTCTGATGGAGGATGAATTTTCCTAAAAATTTCTGGATGAATTTCCCAGTCTCTGAATCAAATATCATTCTTTTAAATTGCAAAACTGCATCAATTTTCCCACCAGGCTGCTTTTCCTTGGACACAGTAAAAGAGATCACCTCTCCTTTTAAAGTTGTTACGTCCACAGTTTTGTTTTTGGATTCTGGCTCCATTACAAACAGTTGTCTGCTTTCAACCAAACTTGAGCTTTATTTGGAGAAATGTTTAAACCAAAGTGGGCTGATCAAGGTTTTCCAACGAAGAATGTGATGAAATAGTACAAATGAATTGCCGGTCTTTTCTCAGGTTTTTGATGTTCTATGTAGAGGAGTCTCATGACAACAACTCATGCTCACTTCATGAACTTCCTAAATTGTCACACATAAATTATGTTGGGATCTCACTTATAACAGGACAAAGCACGTGGGGATTTCCCCCAGCAGACACAATAGCACATCAACTTCACTTGTGAGACCTCACTCCAGCAGACATAAGAGTACATGATCTTTGTGAAGTGTGGATCTGCTTCATTAGATGTGACGGTATATCACTAATATATGTGCATCTCCGGTAGAAAATACAACAATGCAATTTCTCCAATAACGTGTGGCCCTCATTTTCACCAGATATGTTACAGTATTTTGTGATGTGGGATCCTCACTTCAGTAGGTATTATTTCCAAATTCTAAAAAAAAATACAGCACATACATAACATGTTCAGTGTGTGGAGGTACTATTAAAGCAAACATCGTGTGGAATATGCAATATATACGACTAGCAGTAACACAAAAAACACTTTTTCAACTACATGGAGTACATACTGCTTCCAATAACTAGTCATGCACCCCTCCCACCTTTCCACTAACTGAAGCCAACTATCTCCCATTCCTCCCCCTTCCACATTCCCAACCAACATCCTTCTCCCATCCTCTTCCCAACCCACCTAAATCCTTAATTCACCACTACCTTGTCTCTTCCTTCTCTCCATTCCTCACTACCTCCTTACCCATCAATACCCTCACCTTCACCCACCATCCCTCCCAACCTTTTGTAACCCACCCCTGCCTTGCCCTCCCCTACCATGCACAACCACCTCACCATCTCCATTATCCGTAGCTCCACTATCTTCTCCTCCCTGCCCTTCTACTGTCTCCATTATCAGATGCTCCCCATCACCCCCTCCATTACCTAGAGCTCCCCACAACTCCCACCCCACCCCAAAACTCACCATTATTTGGAGCTCCACTCCCATAATCAAGAGCTTCCCCCACCCCATCTCTATTATCCAGAGCACCCCTCCTCTATACCGTCTCCACTATTTGGAGCTGCCCCCGCCCCCAATCTTCATTATCCAGAGTTGCCCCCTCCTCCACCTCGCCATTATCTGGAGCTGACTCCTCCCCATTTATATTAACCGGAGCCACCCCTCCATATCGTCTCCGTTATCCAGAGCTGCTCCCGCCCCCCACCCTTCCCTCTGTGTCCATCAACCGAACTGCCCGTTCCACCACTCCGCGTCTCCCTTATCCAGAACTGCCCCATTTCCTCCCCGCCGTGTCCATTATCTGAGCTGCCCCGTCTCCATTGTCCAGAACTGCCCCCTCCCCCGTCTCCATTGTCCAGAACTGCCCCGTCTCCCCCACCGTCTCCATTGTCCAGAACTGCCCC